AGCAGGTCTTGTATGTTTCAGAATTTTGTCTTTCTGGTGGGAGAATCTCCCCCCCCCCTTCCCCAGGAGGTCCCGTGATGATTGAGGCCCCATAAGAAAGCCAGAACCTTGTTGACACTGAATATGCAGGACCTTTTTTCCTAACCAGTACAAAAAGCCTTTCCATGTAGCCTCCCATTTTGGCCTACAAAGGTGTCAATCAACCCTTTCTAGGTTCTTCTGCTCAGTGCACAAGTGGTGTGGTGGAACCGAAGCCTATCCAGGTGTAGGAATGACTCCTGGGGCAAAAGATGACAGGTGGTCATTATTATGCATGGTGGTTGGAGTATTTATTTATTGTATTTTATTTTATTTATCAACCACCTTCCCCAGTGAGACTGGGCTCAAGGCGGTGTACGGCACAATCATATCGACATCAAGTAAAACAAGTGAAAATGACATAAAACGGTAAAAATATAGCCGTCAGGGCTGTTTTTGTAGAAAAAGCCCAGCAGGAACTCATTAGCACAACAGGCCACACCCAACATCAGAAACTCATTAGCATATTAGACCACATCCCTGACAGCACAGCTCATTGGCACATTAGGCCGCACCCACATGTTACCAGAAGTGTGGTCACCCAGCCACACCCACCATTTGCTTGTTATTCTGTTTACCTTGTTTGTTGTCAAAACCCAGGGCTTTTCTTGTAGCAGGAACTCCTTTGCATGTTAGGCCACATACCCCTAATTGTAGCCAATCCTAATGAGTTTCTGCTGTTGGGTGTGGCCTATTATGCTAATGAGTTCCTGCTGGGCGTGGCCAACTTGGGAGCCAGCCGGAACTCTGTTCCTGTGCGTTCCTGCCCAAAAATAGCCCTGGCAGTCCTGTTTTCAAAGACGGCGCTAAAATCCTAGCGGCACTGCTGCCTCATGCCATGGAAACCAGGTATGAAAACCATGGCCTCTTCAGCCAGTGGGGTGCTACTGTTAGAATAAATTCTATGCCTGCTGATCTGATCTTTCAGTGAACCTTGGGTGATCAATTCTAGCTCCCCAATTCCCTCCAGCTTATTTCATCTGTTGTCGATGAGGCTATCAGAGGAAGCCGGCTGAGGGACCTCTTCCTTATTTTTGAATAAATCTCTTCCTTTTTTTTATTGAATGAATGCTCATTTGTATCAGTCCTGCTTTATTCCCATGAACAGTTTTGGGAGCCAATATTGGACTAGAAAGTGGAAGAATGAATATATAAGTAGATTCAGGCGGGTAGCCGTGTTGGCCTGAAGCAGCCACACAAAGTTTGACTCCAGTAGCACCTTTTAAGATCAGCAAAGTATAATTCAATGTGTAGGCTTTCGTGTGAATTCAATTTGTCTGAGGAAGTGCGCGGGATTCTTGGCAGGGCAGACATAGTTAGTATTTAACACTATCATCCATTTAACCATATCATCCGAGCTGGTATGAGGCAGGTCTTTTGTTTGTTCACTAGGAACTCTGGTCTTGTCAAGTACTGGGTGGCGTATGATCTAAGCAGGGGTAAGATATGGATTGGAGCTGCGGTGGCTCAAGTTGTTAAGACGCTGAACTGCAGGCTATGGAAGGTCGGTAGTTCAGCAGTTCAAGACCCGGGTGCCGCATGACGGAGTGAGCTCCCGTCTCTAGTTCCAGCTCCTGCCAACCTAGCAGTTTGAAAGCAAGAAATTGCAAGTAGATAAATAGGTACCACTTTGGTGGGAAGGTAACAGCGTTTCGTGCGCCTTGGTGTTTAGTCATGCCGTCCACATGACCACGGAAACGTCTTCGGACAGCGCTGGCTCTTCGGCTTTGAAACGGAGATGAGCACCGCAACCCTAGAGTCGGACTCGACTGGCTTTCGAGCAAGGGAACCTTTACCTTTAAGATATGGATGCCCTGAAGATGGAGGTGCTATACCTGAGACACCATGGGACTTGTGACAACCTGAGATGCTGACAAGAAGCCACAATGCAGAGGCCTGAATTACCAATGGAGAGTGATTACCAGCAACCTGAGAAATCTCCAGTGCTGGGGATGGGTCAGGAGATGTAGATTAAGCCACTCATGAAGCCACCTTCTACTGAGTCAGACCATCTGTTAGCAGTCACCAGGGGTCATTTTGTAGAAAAAGAGGTGCAGGAGCTCATTAGCATAACTCATTAGCATAACTTCTTTGCATATGTCACACCCCCTGACATCACCGGAAGTGTGTCAGAAGGCAACACCCACTGCTCAGGCTCCACTGGACTGTTTTGGATTGCTAGCTATTGGTGTGTGTGGGGGGGAACGTGCAGATCTGTCCTCGCAGAGGAGGGAGAGCTTGTACCTGAATAAAATTTGGTCTTAAAGGTGCCACTGGATTGTTTTGGGCCGAGGGGGGGGGGCTTTGCAACTTACCTGGCTGCTTCTTGCTCTGACTGAGGGGTGCTGGGAGCTGGGGGTGGGGCTTGTTGCATGTGCCCGCCCCCTGGGCTCTTTATTGACTCAGGCCCCTCCTCCCGCTGAGGGGCAGTTTAGTGCTAAATATCACCCCCAACATTGTTACTTGCAGGGCACTGCTTGGGCCAAAAAGTGGACCAAGATGGATGCCAGCCAGGCATTGGCCTAGGAAAACAGTATTGGGTAACACATCAAGGCCAGTATTGTTTACTCAGACTGGCAGCAGCTCTCCAGGGTCTTTCATATGGGGGGGGGGACACGAAGGGGGAGGGGAACTCAATCCAAAAAGTAGCTGCTTGATGGAAGTGACACACATCCTGACAAATGGGATATTTGCTACTGGAATAATCTGGAGAATTTGCACAGCTACTATCTATGGCCCACTATACAAACTTGTAGCAAATGCAAAGCATATAAGAAAGCAACATCTGGTCATATATACAAAATTCTTTATGCATGTATTTCTGAATATTGACCACTGAGGAAGGCCCGAAGTGGCCGAAACACGTATGGTCCCTAAGTCAAATGTTTTACCCATCGATTGTATATGTATATTAATCAACTTTTATGATATAAGATTTAAGAGTCTGATATTTAGACTATTTCTTTTTACCGTATGTCTTTTGTTATGTGTACATCCTAATAAACATTTGTATTTTTATATAATTTATTTGTTAGCTTGACCTTCTTAGATTGCAGCTCTTTCACATTACCTACAGCCTGTTCCTTTTCACCAAAGGTGCTGGGGAATGAACGTGGGACCTTCTGCATGCTTTATCACTGAGCCATAGCCCCTCCTAGAAAGCTAGTTTGGTGTAGTGGTTAGGAGCACGGACTCTAATCTGAGAGAACTGGGTTTGATTCCCCACTCCTCCACATGCAACTGCTGGTGTGACCTTGGGTCAGTTACAAGTTCTTTCAGAACTGTTCTCTCACGGGCAGTTCTCAAGAGACCTCTCTCAGCCCCACCTACCTCACAGCAGATATATCATGTGAGACACAAAGGGAGACTAGACGATGCCCCGTCTGTCTATAGTGGATGACTTCCATGTTTGAGGAAACAATTGGAACCTTCCCTTTACAGAGGAATTCTAGATATTATGTGTATTGCAGTCTACAGAGCAGAAAATTTTCTGCATGGGTAGGATTGACTAAAGCTGACTAGTTGATCCTCTTCTGAAATCTTTGCTTGCTGCAGGAAGGCTTGGAGAAACCTAAATTCCCTGGATTTGTACAGAGCTTTTGCAGAAGCAGAGCTCCGCTTGGTAACTGTCCCTTTCTCCCACTTTACGACTGATGATGTAGCCTTTCCCCCCTTTTTAAAAGTTTTGTTCCTCCCAGTCCTACTTTAAGAACCATTTCCCCTAGAAAATTTAATTCCTTCAAAGAGGACTAGCAGATGAACATAACTTTGAGCTAGCTTCACGGGTCCTGTGCTTCAACGTGGATTAGGCAGCTTCATGGATGGCACTATCAATTGCGGTTAACCTGAATAGCTAAATAGAACCCCCCCCCCTCAAACGTACCACTGTGAATAGTGGGTACTAGAAACAAACAGAGAGTGTCCGTCACCTTCATGTCCTGCTTGTGAGACTCAGAGAGGTGTCTGAATGGCCAGTATTGTAGGCAGAAGGCTGAACTGGTTCAGGCTTAGGCTGGCAACCAGTGGGAGAAGAGGACTTGCTGGTAATGACATTATATTGCTGGTGATGGTTAAACCATAGAGTTTTGGAGATATGCTAGAGCAGGGGTGTCAAACATAAGGCATTTGGATGGGCCTTTGGCCTGATCCAACATTGGCATCTCTTATGTTCTTATGTTCTTAAGACCCGGGGCCCAGAAGCGGCTCATCCAGGGCTCTTATGCATCCCGCAAGCAACTGATGCAAGGGAGGGAGTGCTGGGGGGGGGGAGTGGGTGGAGCCACTCCACTGTGGCTTCAGCACAGCAGAACAACCTCGTCTGCAACAGTCAAGCGTCGTGGGGGCACCTGCCCAGCGCTGCACGGCTGCCTCCCCAGTCTGCCTGTGTGGGTTTTCCTCTGCACCCCCCTTCCCAGCCCATGGGGCCTTGCAGTGAGGACACACGAACTCGGAGCTTACCAGCGGTTGTCCTTTAGACAGTTTCTATCTCTGGTACCTGGCATTACGTTTTATGGCGCACGTGGCCTGGCCTGATAAAGTGACATTTATGTCAGATCTGGTCCTTGTAACAAATGAGTTTGACGCCTCTGGGCTAGAGCATCACCAGGCATGTGCTGATGTCACTTCTGGTTAGGGTTGCCAGCCCCTGGGTCCAGGCGGGGGTTCCCCTGCTTCTGGGGGCTCCGATCTGCCACTGCGGCCACCCCTCTCCCTCCCATCCTGCAGAGATTTAAAGGGCTTCAGTGAATAGCTGCTGGGAAATCAGCCCCGTGCACTGCAGCCCCCCACTCCGCTTGCAAAAAGACCCTTTAAAGGGTCTTTCTGCAAGTGGAGCTGCGGCCAGCAACAGCCTCTCCCCCTCCCTGCTGAAAGATTTAAAGGGTCCTCCAGCTGATCAGTGGGTCACGTGCTCCCCACCAATCAGGGTGGCTGTGGCATGGGGGCGGGGCTTGGAGGCATCCCTGCCCACCCCGGAACACTCCCCAAATCCCCCCGCCAGAGCAACAAGGGGACCTGGCAACCAATGCTCCCTCTAAGCTGTGGAGGCCTGTGAGCAAAAATCCTGCTTTGTGAGCTGCTGTTGTAGTTGTTCAGTCGCACAGTCGAGTCCGACTCTTCGCGACCCCATGGACCAGCTCACTTTGTGAGCTACTGGCATTAAAGTTGTGAGCAGGCAATTGGGCTGCTGCATAAATTAGTTTGCTCTGGGGCCATCCTTCCTGAGCTGAGACAAAAATGTGTGAGCCGGAGGCTAAAGAACTGAGAGCTACCTCACACTAACTCAGCTTAGAGGGAACACTGCTGGCAACCCTACTTCTGGCTGTGCTGAAAGTGAGATCAGCATGTTGGGATGCTGGCGGTCACTCCCCATTTCCCCCCCATTTTTCTCCCACTGCCCAGCTGAGCAGCAGGAAGAAGTACCTGCCGGGGATGGAAGATTCCCCACCTCCAGCAGGAAAATGGCAAGCCTATCTAGAAGGGCCACTGTTATGCTCACACGTCTCCTAAAAACTGTCAACTTTTATTGAGAAGTAAAAACAGGATTGGCAGGCGAACATCTCTCTCTCCTTCTCTCTGGTATTAAATTTACACCTGCACAGTATACAGAAGGTCTGTCTATAGCACAGGGGATTTATCCTCTGGTTAACATCTGAACTGAACAGAATTGCTGTCAGTTCTAGCCCGTGCTGGTGTGAGCTACCAACATTGTCCCCAGCTCGCTGTCCACCCAGCGGTTCGAAAGCTTCGGCGAGTAGATAAAATGGGTACCAATAAAATGGATACCACTCCTTAGAGTGGGTGGGCACACTAACCCCCCACTGGGGAGGTGTTAGCTGATGAATGGAATGTCCAGCTCATAAGCTCGGAAGCCTGGAAAAAAGACCTCTTCGGCATTAAGAAGCCTGTAATGGGCCAATCCGGCCAGGCGGTGGCAGTGCAGCACTACGACTCAAAGCAGCCCAGGAAGAACCAATGTCATCAAGCCAAGCCGAAATGAATGCTGTCCGGAACACGTCTGAAGCCTACAGCTGAACAAAAATCCCCATGCGCTGCAAATGTGTGCAATTTAAAGAATTATATGTTGTCTTCCCTTACCCGCCTATGAAATTGTTAGTCCCTTGTGTGAAACTGTGTAACTGTAAATCGCTCAGAGCCAGCAGCTCTGCTGGATTGAGCGATCAATAAATCGAACGGTATTATTGTTGTTGTTGTTGTTGTTGTTGTTGTTATATTGAGTAGAAACTGATGTCTCCCAAAGTATTCAGCACTAATAAGAAATGAGCCCAAGGCATATTAATTTGAGAGCTGTCCGTTTTCCGTTATTGAGACATTGTCATCTTCATCTCTCACACAGGCATTATATTTAATGTCTCCAGCCATAAGAGGGGTGGAGCAGATATCGTTCAGGAGCTCCCGAAACGCCTCTCGTATACCATTCGAACGAGTATCCTGTACAGCCTGAGAACGGACCTGATCAAGAATCCAGTGTGGAAATCCCATCCTCAGAACTTGCCGGCTGATGGTTTCAAGTATAACCACGTCTTCATTCCTTTGCAAGATATGATAGAAAGGGCCATCATTTCAGTGCACGCTGGAGTAGACACACTGGATACAGGAATACAAGTTCAAGCTATGCCGTATCCATGCCATACCAGTGATCTGTGAGTAGTCTGCTTACTTCCAACTGAGAGCTGCTTTTGATGTTCTGAGCAACCATCTGACTTACATTAACTCCTCCCACAGTTCTTTGTTGTCTAAAGCAGGGAGATGTATTATTCACCAAGTGCAAGGACAGAACCCGCATTTCCCTCTTAGGCAGGGGTCATTTTATAGAAAAAGAGCTAGGGGAACTCATTAGCATAACTCATTAGCATATGCCACACCCCTTGACATCAGGGACCCGGCGGTGGACCTGCAAGGCCAGCGGGAGTGCGAGGAAGCCCCGCCAAGACCCTCCCTGGCCCCAGGCAGGCAGGGGTGAGGAGAGGCGGGGAGGAAGCAACTTACCCTCCCTCTTCTCCTGCCTCCTCCTGGCTGAATGAGGGCTGGAAGCGGGGCGGCCGGAAGCAGGGGGCGGTGCTTCGTCATGTGCCCCGCCCCCCTGCACCTCACCCGGGGGAACTGCGTTCCCCCGCGTTCCCCCCCGAAATGACCTCTGCTCTTAGGGGATCCAGAAGCAGAGGGAAAGGAAGCATTGTAGACTTTGGTAGGGTTCAATAACGACACAACACACAGAGATTTCTTGAAGCTGATCAGGCTCAGGCTCTGTCTCTGTCTCTCTCTGTACCAAACTGAACTGTCTTTCTGACAGGCTGAGAGCAGTGTTTTATTTTAGAGTCAAGCGGGTTCACACAAGGCACAGTGAAAATGTTACAATTAGAAGCCTCTATGCTAAAATCACAGAATGTTCTTTCTCATAGCTCATCTTTCCCAAATGTTGCAAAGACGGTGCCTTCAGTAATTCATTGTGCTCGTAAATAAAATAACAGACTCATGCAGACTCAGAAAGACATTGTGCATTTTTGCCAAGCCAATCTCCCGGTGAGAGTGTCCCGGTGGGAACCTGAACTTTGTCCTGGGCATGCCTCGCAGGATTTTGTTCAGACCCCACAAAGCATAAATACTTCTTGGAGCAGTGGAAGTCTGTCCATCACGTTTTTGTCCTGTGTTTCCTCCAATGATGGCATAATGGGCTTGGTTCTCCCCTCCCCCTCATTTTATCCTCGCGACAGTCCTGCAAACTTATGGGTGCTCCAGGAAAATTACTTGTTCCAAGTCAAGCAGTGGAGGCTCAAGGGCATGGCTAGTAACAAGAAGACTTCTTGCCACTTGAAGTACCATGGGCAGTTGCCATCCCCCCCCCTGCCACTGCCCTCCTCCCCTGGTTGCAACCACTGGTCTGCCTCAGTCCTGCTGTAGGTAGTCCCAGAGGAGATACTGCCCCAGCACTCTTTAAGAATAGTGCAGCAAGCTATGCATGCCTTCCCCCTGTGGTTAGAAGTATGCAAAATGTTTGTACAGGGTTTTTATTGTACTTAAGTTTTTTATTGGGTATATCTATCAGTCACACAATTCACAATTCAAACTAAACACCAAGTTGCATGGAACGCTGTTACCTTCTCTAATGAGCAGTCCTCAAAAGAGCTCTCTCAGCCCCGCCTACCTCACAGGGTGTCTGTTGTGGGGAGGGGGAGGGAAAGGAGTTTGTAAGCCGCTCTGAGACTCCTTCGGGTAGTGAAGGGCGGGGTATAAATCCAATCTCTTCTTCTTCTTCAGTTTCCTTAAAACATAGAAACCACAATTGTTTATTAAAAGTATCAATTTAAAACTTGAAGGTAAAGGGGAAACAGTGTTGCTGGTGTATGCATTGCTCCCACGGACACCTTTGAAGCATACAAGTTGCAACTGATTAATGTTTTTATTCTGCTTCTAAAAAGGCGAGGATATTTTTCTGCTTACAGATTCCTGAACAACATTGGCTTCTTTTTCCCGCTTATAATGATGCTGACGTGGATGGTGTCTGTGGCAAGCATGGTCCGGAAGCTTGTTTACGAGAGAGAAATTCATCTCGAGGAGGTACGAAATAGCTGAATTTTTTTTTTTTACCGGCAAATCACTTCAGTCCTGAAGTTTCAGAAAACGTGACCTAAGAGGTCCAGACGGTTTTATTAAAAAAACACACACGGAGGGGGGGGGAACAATAACAGGCAATTATATCATAGTTATATCATAGTCTTCAGCTGGGCTGCGGAGCAGTTGCAGTCTCCCTGGTTGCATGGCTTGACCTCTTGTTTTGTTTTGCCAGCCGGCCACCCTGTAGG